GGTAATACCAGATGGCTAGGCCTCAGACCGACGAAGCCTCTTGGATGAGGGGCGAAACGTTTCTTTTTAACAAAAAAACGAAGTCCAGATGACATGATTCAACCTTTTTTGTTAGTCTGAAATGTTTAATATAACAACTCTATATGAAATATATATGTGAATACATTTAGTTCACCATTTGGCAACAAACTGTTCAGTTTTGTCTCTGTCACCCTTAATTAATGCATAATAAACAATTATTGATATATAAAGTGCTTATAGAGGAATTAATGTATCTATAAACCATTAGCTATCTATAAGAGGAGCCTTATTGTAAAGTGGTACCAGTTTATCTATAATTTCAGCTTCAAATATGCAAGAAAGTGAAAGTAAACAGTAAAATGGTTGTGTAAAATAAAATGTCCCGTCACTTCAAATGTAACGAGGAATGCTTACTCTGTATATGTAGTAATATCCTCTCAGGTGAGACTGTGAACAAGAGCAAGTTCCTGAATCAATAATCGTCAATAACAGCCGATCAACGGGCACTCTGTGGCACTTACAGCACTGCCGTTCTCCTTCGTGTAGAAGAACAGGGTGGTGTTTTGAAGCCTGAACCAGTAGGTGACCCATCGTATTTTCTAGTAAACAGAGCGACCGGTTATCATCAGCTCAGAGTAAAAGAAGTGGCAGGATAAACCCATATCTTACCAACGTATCTTTTCTTTTCTGCAAAAAGCCCTCGAACAGTAACCTCGTTCCATCCACAGACATGGCAACTCTCGGCACACGGCTCCTTCAACGTTTTCACCCGTTCCGTTTTCACTCCATCTACCTGGTCGTCTGGCGCCACTTCCTCCTCGCACGGGCCGAGATCGCCGCCGTTCACTTTCATTGCTCGCTCACTTCTCTATTTGCCTCCCACTAAAGTCTGACGTGAAAAGACCCAGCTTTGTGACCCACTTCAAAACACACGCACCAACACGGCCGTGGCAGGTCGTACAGTCCTTTATTGAAAAGAATATTGTGAAGAAACACTTTTAAAGTGAGGGGAAACGTCCTGTTTGGCTGTTCAAGCATAAAGAGAAGTCATAAATGATAAGCTGTGATAATACTGAATATAAAACAGACTTGTTAATAAATTAACACACACAAAAACAATAAAACGAGTGCACATCCATTCTGGTGACAGATGTGGCACTTTGTCCTAAAATCACCCGTGGATGCACGTTTTTGGCCTGTCCCCTTACCCTTCTTAAAGAATTCATACATACATTATATACTACATATACACAACTACAACTGATTCCAGTCCCTTTGCGATGCACGTTTGGCCTCCATATATCTAGATAAATAAAGACCTGAGGACCGGATCAGCTCATTTAATCCAGACTAATGCTACTCTCTAATCTCATCAAGATTAAACCAAACGATCACATAATGGATGTATTTAAAAACAGAGCGAGACTGACAAAGTTGCCTTTGTTCACAAAACACACGAAACGCCCACGCTCTCATATAAAACGCACTTTTGTTTGCTTCTTGATGGTGCTGAGAGAAAAGGGTGGAGTTTGAGGCAACGAGCTGGGAGGGTTGTTCAGGTAGTAGTTTTTTAATAAGAAGTCTTTCAGGTGGGAAGAGGGAAGGAGTAGCTGTCTTCGTGCTGCCTGATCACCGCTGTTTGAGCAGGGCTCTGTACATGGCGAAGCCCAACACGGCGAACACGGTGGCGCCGACGCTGGCTCTCAACCAGAAGGTGGAGTTCTTCAGGTCCGCCTGAGCCATGTGCCTGACGGGGGGGAGACCAGAAACAGACGCAGAGAGTGTGAGGGAGGAGAAAGAAAAGCAGAAAAACGTTTCTCTGTCACAGCGGGGTGAGCACCTAAATGACAAAGCAAAGCCGTGAGCACTCCGGTAAAAATAAAACAACTTCCTGAATTTGAACCACAAAGCATGAAAGCATGAAAACCCAATGATCCAGACTGAAACAGGAACACGGGCTTTGTTTTGACATTTGGTTTGGGGAACAGCGTCGAACACTACAGCAGAACAGGGCTCCGAAGAGAAGCAGCTCGCGTTCACAGCAAGAGGAACAAAACTACATTTTGTTTAGGAGCAGTCTTAAAGGGAAGAATTAGTCTGAAAAACAGAAATATTTTGGTCAGGTTTGTTTTTGTTTTTAGGCCATTTTGGTATTTAGTAAAATATTTATGCAAGAGAACTGTTTAGTTCCGTAGAAGTTCTCATAAACTATGAGGTGAAGAAGTTTTATATCAGACGAGGCAATAAGCAGGAATCAAAATCTTTCAATCTCAACTGAATTCACGTTGCCAGCTAGTTCTGTCGCGATAAATCAATTAATCAATTAATCGCGTGATAAATGAAAATGATCAACCTCATTTTTATATATCAGTTTTATCGTTTCTTCGTGTCTCTCTCTTTCTACTGAAGACACTGGATGACAAAAAGCTCAACTCCGGTGCTCTTCACTGACCCCTCCCTTTCTCTTTAAAATCTGTTTTAACTGTCCAAAATCACGTTTCTGGATCGATGAAAGCAGCTAAGCTACGAGCTAAGCTAACAGGCCGACCTCAGGGAAAAACCTCGTCTTGTCGAAACTCCAAAATTCACGGTTGAAATTTGTGTCTTCGTCTAAAAAGTTCTTTTCTCTGCAGAAAGAAGCTGAGAACTTTTTTTTTTTTATTAAAAGCTTTGGGTGAAAAATGCTACGCTAAACAGCTCAAACCACACAGAGCGTCCGCCATTTTGAGAACCGAAGAGAGACAGCCCATGTCACGTCAAGGAGCCTCCCTCCCATTTTTCTTAAAGAGACATGCTGCTCGCTCTCTCACTGTCCATCCTTCAGTTCAAGCAGTCTCATACTGCCATCTGGTGGTCATAAAATGGTACTACGTGCAAAAATTAACCAACATTTCTTAAATGTGACATTACTAATTATTGTCAATTTTCAAACAATATTATTGTTTATAGCAATAACTTCTGAGACAATCGCCCATCAAAATGTGTTACTGTGACAGGACTAGTTGTCCGGTTTAAATGTGTGTGGTCTGAGCCAGCATCCTGGACGGACAGGTTACTGAAGTGAACACAAATCAAACGGCAGCTTGAGAGGCTAAAGTGCTCACATAAGGAAGGACTCATGCATTCTTTATTTTAGAAGTTTGTTTCGAACTGTAAAGTGTTTATTGCATGACTGCTTGCAGAAAGATTGTTTAGCAAAAGATGATTATCAAATTTTCCTCATGGAGTCTTTGCAGCTTTAGAAAACTGGGTTAGATGGCAGGAAAGCCAAAGTAAACTTTCAAAGAGTGAGAATCAAATGGAGGCGGCAGAAAAATTAAACTAAAATAAAGATAAACACATCGCCAGCTCGCTAAAATACAAAGTCAAAACAGCCCACAAGTCCAGGACGCTTTTATTTTCTACTAAAAACACAAATTATCTGCACAAAATGACACCACAGCTAAAAGGCCTAAAATAAAAATATTCCAGATATTCTGAATAACTTGAACTTTCTGCCTCTGATCTTTCTGGACTCTTCATCTGAGGCTCTCATACAAACGCACTCCTCCATGTTGGAGAGGCTGAAACTTCTGACTGAAACCCTCCTCTGACGGCGAGCAGCACCAACCAAGCTCCACAGCCGACCCACAAACACAGAACCACCGTCACACAGAGCGGACCGAGCGTTCAGGACTACCAACACTGCATCAGGTTACATTATCACGTGTAGTATCAAACCTTTAAATCCAGTCCAGATGATTTGATAAATCTCTGTATTTAGCCACTAAATAGAAAAATATTTACATTTGCCAAGTTTTTGTACAGAAATTAACCTAAAATTCTTAATTGCTACTATTTTTTACTTGCTAAACTAATAACTAAGAGATAGTTTATGATGTGCTACTTTTGTATCTCATCTTATTTTTATGTTTAATTATGATTACACTGGTGATAAAGTGGCTAAAATAAAACAAGTGTTTTACTTAGTTTGATACAATATCAGTTTTTGTGTGCTGTTTGAAGATAAAGGTGGACGGAATTGTTTTATGATAAAGGGTAAAAAAAAAAAAAAAAAAAGTGTATATTTGTAACCTCAGAGCTAAATACTCTTAAATCAGCATCTTGACAGGAAAATTATTTTTTAACACAGTGTTCTGGACACACTGATGCAAACGTTTTAGTTTAATAGAAAAACTTTTCTCCATCGTGGTGAATAAATGTTCTTAACCAGCAACAAGAGACGCACGGTTAAATGTAACGTTGTCAGTACCGCCCAGCTCCGTTCGGATTTTATAAACATTAAATTACAAAGAGCTCAATTTAAACCAATAAAAGCAGAACACACGCAGCCACAAACAGCTAAAATAAATTAGGTATGAAAACCATGAATACATCCGAGTGTGAGGCTTTTTATGAAAACACCGCATCTATTTTTGTTCTCATTACTATGAAGTATGAAACGCATAACCAACCTGCAGTACTTTTAAGTGATACTTGTACCTCAAGTCTGTCTAAACTATTTCTGCTCAAATTTTCTATTCCCTTGAAATAATCATGTTGCAAACTGAGATTATGATGTCAGCGGAATAATCTCACTGTGGTGGCTCAGATCCTTCCTCTGCCCTCATTAGACTCGTGTAATTAACTACTTTAAAATCTGCCAGAGACAAAACACGAAACAAAATTAAAAGTTAGTGCTGAATGCAACACAACATCAGCCTGGATCTATTTAAGGGTTAACTTTACAACAAATATCGACACAAACTTGCAAATATATCACAAATTTCTCCCCAATTTTATTCCCTACACCACCTTTCACACCCTTATTCAAAACACCTCCATATTACCACTAGGGGGCAGTGTTTCAGTGACAAACTGAGCTTTTAGTTTAGAAAACAAGTTGGACAACATGCAAGAGGAAAATGGACAGCCAGAGACATGTAGTGGACACCTACAGACAGGGAGGGAAACAAAAACAGAGATGAGGGTAAATGAGGACAAAATGAGTCGGAAAACAAAAATCAATTGTAATTTGAGTCAAAGAATAGTTTAAAAGACAAGAAGCCTTTTAGATAATTTAGTTTGTAACATAAAAATCATGCAGACAAGAATGAAGTTTTCAGTAAAGAATGAAACAAACACAAGACTTGATCGTGTTTTTCTCATTTTGTATGAAAATGATGAGCGCATTAGTCAAAGTTTACAGTTTGCATATCCACCACAGGTCAGGAAGCAACAAACATTTGTCAAATACAGTTGAATCACCGTTTTAGGTGAATTAGAAATTAACACAACACTATTAATAGTTATTAAACCACTGCATCGCACATGAGCCACCGCAGAAAGGTTCCTACAAAAAGTTGAATTTAACTGAGAACAACCAAACCGTATTAAATTCAGCAACAGTCCGTGTGCTTTTTGCAAAGGAATTAATAGTAGTGGCTGAATTTCTTTGTCTCCACAATAACATTTATTTATTTTTTATCATGCATTGTTTTGACTATCAAACCTGTAACTATGTTGTTATACTTTATGTTGACTTGGAAACATGCTACTCCTGATAAAAACCTTATATCTTAATGAGATTACTTGCACAAAGGTGATATAAAAATTACAACTTTTTACCAAAATGCCAATGAACAATGCAATTTTTGTAAATCCAATGATTAATCCAGATTAGGAGATGATTTTTGATTCAAACATACTCGAAACCTTTTTCTGGTTGATTTCGTATTGGGTTCTCAGCGCAGCTAGAGTGAACAATCTACATGAGCTGATAGTTTAAGACCAGTTCAAACACCCAGTTTAAATATCCTGGTGCATGCGCAATAATCCAGGTTAAAAAATCTCACAAAGTTAAGTCAGGTCCTCTGGACGGATTAAAAATAAAACACCCAGTTTAAACCTGACAGCAGATACCTTCGCCTGCAGCTGCACATGTTGCTGAAGGCAAACTGAACTGGATAACGTCCCAGCTGCTGCAGGTAACATTAATGAAGACAACAGAAAATAATTGTTTTAGTGTATTTGTCAACAAATATCAGCACCAGACAAGAATAAATCTACAACTCCTTCACAGCTACAGCAACAGTGACTGCAACAGTTAGAATCTCATTCCTCCTACTTTTATTCCCTTTTCCCTGCAGTGGATATGCAGCATAAACCCGAGCGCCGGTGAGAGCTGAAGGAAAGCAGAGGAGCCGTCACCACAGATACCGAGCTCGGGTCGAAAGGATCGAGGATAAGAAACACAGAGAGGAGGAGCAGGGAGTCTACGTTACAACACTAGAGCTTGTTCTGTGAATGGACCTGTTGTAAACGACCCTGCGGAGCTGGGCCTTAACGCTGCGCAGCAGCTCCAGCTTCAGGAGGTTCTGACACAGGCAATAAGTGCACCTGTTGCAGGAACACATGCAGCGGAGACGGGCGGAGCTGCAAGAAGACACAAAAATGTGCACATTACGCAAAGATGCACCTGATTGCACACAAGAAGGGGGGAACGAAACTGTGGGGAATTAGTGATTACAGTGTAAGTTGGTGCCGTTTTGATCTATTTTACCACTTTAATTTAGAAATAAACTCAACGGAATGAAAGGAAACAAGAACAAAAAGCAAAGTAAGATGCTGGCAAATCATCACACACAAATAAATAAATAAACATCTTCAAAGTTTCTAAATAAAACCAAAGCTTAACATCTCTGAGAAACCCATTGAATTTGATTCAGTGTAATCACCAGGCTGCTGTAAAGCATCACTGAGGGCACAAGGTGAGGAAGCCACATCCACACTGAAAAGCTCCACACACCAAGTTTCCAGGAAAACGTTCTCGTTAAGTGAAAGAAAATGCAGTAACGAGCCTCACGAGTCTGTTTACGCAAACAGCTCTGCCATGTGGGAGCTGCATGACTGCGATCACAAAAACTGATCCAAGTAAGAACAGATGAGGAAAATTACAACGTTGTACTGGTTTAAAAAAAAAAAAAAAGAAGCTCTGATTGGTTTGTATTCATAATGAATGACATCCTGGACTGGTTTTGGAGCAGTGCTTGTCTGAGTAACGACACAAACTGATTAAAGACAGCAGGAGGTCAAACAGGAGGACAAAAGGTTGTTGTGATGTTTACATGCTCAACTAATTCATACAAACATGGCAGCAGCTCAACTCACCGAGCGTCAGCAGGTTTTTACAACTCACTGGGGTTAAAACTAAATCCTTGTGCAGCAGAATCATTTAAATGGCTGAGACTTTTATAAACCAAAAAGATCTTGTTTTTTTTTTACAAAAACAGTTCTGATTACTTTAAATTGAAATTTTACAATTTCATTATTTAGCTGTGTCTCTGAATAAAAGGGCTGCAGTGGGTTAATGTTTCCAGATTATTTACTTCCTGTTTGGGCCAAGTTCACCCTAAATCACCAGATTTAATCTTTAAGTCTCACTGGTCAGTGGATTAAGAAGATTATTTGTCATTACTTCTGTTTAAACTAACATTTTGCTAATTAAAATCCTGACCTGAAGCATAGCAAAATTAACTAAAGGGAGATTAAAATGCTAAATTGAGATTAAACAGGCAGATCCTCGTGGTCACTTATTAATCCAGTTTGTAATCTAATCTGATCAAAGAGCTTTGGGAAGTTAAGACACCATGCAGAGGGATTGACCATGAAATGTTTCCAACAGAAACAACACAATAAAAAACTGAAGACAAAAAAAACACCACCTTATGTTTTGGCATATAAATCAGGTTTTTGCATAGATTTATCAGTTCTGCGACTTATACACTTATAAACGTTTTTTTTCCCATATTCATAACGCAATTCTTGACTGACACTTTCAATTTCTAAGTACTGCAACAGTGAGTCCTCTCGTGCGCACTCGTTTCACTCATTTGGTGCAGGAACGCTGGAGAGCTAGCGGCTCCGGCTGCGATGGATGGTTCCGCTCCACCCAGGCGAAATTAAGCTGTTTGACCATTAAATAAATGCATAATAAATGTGATTTATATGCCGAAGCAACCTATAAATGTTTTTTCTTCCTTTTCATGATGCTTTGTTTGACTGATGCGACTTATACTCCGGAGCAACTTATACAACGGAAAATACGGTATTTGTTTTGGTTAAAGGCAAAAAATTCAGGAAATTATTCGTCGAATCCTGAGAAAAGTAAGCAGCTTCTTCTCTTCAGCAGAATTTCAGTCTCGAATATTAAAGGCTATATAGCAGCTGCTTTTAATTTTTGTTAAGATTCAACTTTTTCTCCAGGAGAGATGAAAGAAAGGTAAAGAAATCCGCCCTCCCAGAGGTGGGAAGTGTTCACTCAGGTTGTTATACTCACGGATACATGGCCATGGTGGTGAGTCTGGTGTAGAGCTCCTTGCTGGGCGCCTCCGACGTGTTGCATGTGAACGTCTGAGGCGGGTGGAGCTTGTGCTTGCGACAGAAGTCGTGCGGCGACAGGCTGTGGTGCTGCCGCGCCTCGTGCAGGTCTGACTTGGCTGCAATCACCACACAAGGCGTCTTGCTGTCGACGAAGTATTGCTGCGAAATGAAACCTTTATATGTAACTAAGAGCATCGATACATCAAACTTGTACCGTTTCCATCATCTGGAATATTCAGAGTACGCACCTTGTATACTTTAGCACAGTATTCAAAAGAGTGGGGATTGTTGACGTCGTACACCAGGCAGACCACGTCACAGGTCAGGTCTGTTTCTGACAGGAAGTCAACATCTGGCATCACCTCGTGGAGCTGAGCGCACAAAACAACAGCAAAGGGAGGAGTTAACTTTCTGAACTGACGCTTTAATACCACGTGATAATTTAGCAATAATCCAAGTCAAAGGGTTTTACCAGCAGGTATTTCTCCTGGCCGTAAACATACGTGGTGTTAATGGCATAGAACGACTTGTGGTCTTCTTTGATCCGTACCTGCCGCTGTGGTGACAGATGAAGTCAGCAACATTCATTCCAGACGAGCTCTGTTAAAATCTATTAGTTTAAATATCCTCGTTTAACAACAGGATACATTTGTTCAACACTGGATGCACAAGGTCTCCTCAAAATGTTGAATTTCAACCTCTCACTTACACCAGTCTTATAACAATTATTTTAATAGTCTGAATGCTTATGAAGCATTAAACTATTTCAACAAATCTCAAATCAAAACCTTCAGCTCGTTCAGGAGACAGCTGCTCTGACTTTTGTTATTGGTGTAACTTTAGCTTGTGATATATTTAGCCTTTTCTGCCATTTTTTTCCCTCATAGAAAATGAATTGAGCTCATTTTACAACCTTCACATCTTTAGCTCTGTTTACAACCTTTGATTGCTCCTTTCACATTTTGTTCTGCTTCAGCTTCTTTCAGCTTCTTTGGGCACATTTAAACTTTTTTCAGCTAATTTCAGCAGTTTTTTCAGTTGTTTTGTGCTCTTTCAGATTATTTCTGCTAACTACAACAGTTTTGTGCTTCTTCTAACTTCTTTATGCTAATTTCAGCTTATTTATGCAAGCGTCAGCTTTTTCTACTATTTCAGCTCTTATGCTAATTTTAGGCTTTTCAGCTAATTCCACATTTTTTTGCACTCATTTCAACTTTTTTCATTCATCAAAAATGTGCTCCCTCCACTTCCTTCTGGTAATTTAAGCTTCTTTCTGCTTTTTTAGCCACTTTTCATCTGCTTTGTTCTTTTATCGTTTTTGTTGCTGATTTCAGCTTTTTACAGATAATATCCACATTTTGTGCTCATTTCTGCTTCTTTTGACAAACATGTTCTTTCTGATTTCTTCTAATATTTTAAGCTTGTTCTACCTTGTTCAAATTTTTTCAAACTTTTTTTTTAAGCTAATTACAGTTGTTTTCAGATATATTCAAGTTTTTTGTAGTAATTTCTGCTACTTTCGGCCTAATTAACTTCTTTCAACTAATTTCAGCTTATTATGCTCCTTTCAGCTTTGTTCTGCTAGTTTCAGCTTTAGCTGTTTTGTGCTAAATTTAGCTTTTTCAGCTAATTCCACTTTTTTTTTCCGCTCATTTCAGCTCCGTCCACTTCTTTCTGGTAGTTTAAGCTTCTTTCAGCTACTTTCCAGCTTGTTTTTTTTTTGTTGTTGTTGCTCATTTCAGCTTTTTTGTAGCTAATTTCCCAAATTTTGTGCTCATTTCTGCTTATTTAAGCCTAATTCAGCAAATAGGTTTTATTTCTGCTTTCTTCTGCTAACTTAGGCTTGTTCTTCCATTTCAGCTACATTTCAGCATGTTTTTACATCATTTCAGCTGTTTTTCAGCAACTTCTTTAGCAATAAACAGTCACATTGCATTTTTGCAGGAAATGCAATCCCTCTAGTTTAGTTTAAATACATTTCCACCAGGAAAAAAAAGCCAATGTGTCATCTTTATTTTGAATTTACTCCAAGCAAACATCTATGGCAGTAACATCCACAGTTTCAAATTAACTTATGCTACAGCTGAAAATAAACCACCAGGAACAATTTTGTGTTTGAATGTACTTGTGTCCACGAGTTCACTGACCTGCAGGTTCCTGCCGAGGAAAGCTTGAAGGAAGCCGCTTTTCCCGCTGTCTTGTGCGCCCAACACGTTGCAGCGGAAGACGCTGCGCTGAGTCTGTTTCTTCTGCAGATCGATGCGCTTGTTACGCGTCACTGAAAGAGTTGCGCATGCAAATATTACAAATCCAGAATACGTATAAATAAAACATTGAGTAAATTCATAGCCGCTCACCTGTTATAGCAGCAGCTTGGGACTCCTGCTCATAGATGATAGAGTAGCCGAGGTAACCCAAATACTCCAAACTTCGCTGCACATCCAAATATGTTGTTAACCTGTGGAAAGAAACACGGACGAGTCATGATGAGAGAAATCAACAGTTACTGTACGTGAAGCAGCTAATGAGGAAATATGACTGCACTGAAAGCTTGGTGCATGTGGCACATTTTGTTGAGCATCTGTATCATTGGAAACACTCACGTCCACTGAGAGAGGTACCCCTGGTACGTGATCCATCCCTTATCGTTGGTGCACACTGTGTTGTTGACGTCTGGACCCCAGGGCATGTAGGGAAACACTTTGAACAAGTCTTTCACCTCCTCTGGTGACAGCGCACAGTCTCTGTCCTGGATATTACCAAATGCAAACACACACACATTTTAATACTTCTTGTTTTTAGACATTTTAAGATCAGGGAAATTAAGAAAAATGGTCACAAAGAAGACCTTCAGCATAGTAAGCATAAAAGAGGCCAGACACTTTATAAAAAGCACAAAAGCAACTAATAACTCACTTTATCGTGTTTGTCAAAGACACTCTGAAGGAAGAGGTAAGCATTGTGGTTCAGCTCAGTGGTGCAGTCAGGAGGGATCTTTACCCTGAAACAGACAAACATTATTTAAACAGCTGATTCTGGAGCTCCAAGTTTTCATCACTGTGGTCCAAACACAGATCCTGGTTCAGTTTGAGTTACAAAATAAACACTACCAGTAAAAGACAGAAAGTTAGGACGGCTTTAAATAACGTGAATGTTTGTGAAGAGTATTGTGATCCAGTTTTCTTCCATATGTTTACTGGCATCTTTCTTGTTCCACAATTTTGTGCTATTTCAATAAATCATACACCAAAACGTTCAGCTCTTTCAGGAGAAGGGTGCTGTGGCTTTTGTTATTGGTGCAACTTTAGCTTTTTGAAATATTTAGTGTTTCCTGCCACTTTTTTTCTTGTAGAAAATGAATTGAGCTCATTTTACATCCTTCACATCTTTAGATGCGTTTACAACCTCTTACTGCGCCTTTCACTTTTTGTTCTGCTTCAGCTTCTTTCAGCTTCCTTGTGCAAATTTAAACATTTTTTCAGCTATTTTCAGCTAATTTCAGCTGTTTTTTTCAACTCATTTGTGCTCCCTTCAAATTATTTCTGCTAACTAGAAAATGTTTGTGCTTCTTCTAACTTCTTTCTGCTAATTTCAGCTTATGCTCCTTTCAGCTCATTTATGCAAGTTTCAGCTTTTTCAGCTATTTCAGCTACTATTTAGCTGTTTTATGCTACTTTTAGATTTTTCAGCTAATTCCACTTTTGAAAAAAAATTTGTTTCAACCTTTTTCAGCCTAATTCAGCAAAAATGTGCTCCCTCGACTTCCTTCTGGTAATTTCAACTTTCTACTATTTTAGCTACTTTTCAGCTGTTTTTTTTTTTTGTTGTTGCTAATTTCAGCTGTTTTCAGATAAATTCACATTTTTTGTGGTAATTTCTGTTACTTTCAGCCTAATGAAATTCTTTATGCTAATTCACTTTGTTATGCTCCTTTCAGTTTTTTCTACTAGCTTAAGCTTCTTTTTTTTGCTATTTCAACTACTTTTAGCTGTTTTATGCTAATTTGAGCTTTTTCAGCAAATTCCACATTTTTTAGCTCATTTCACCTCTTTCCACTTCCTTCTGGTAGTTTAAGCTTCTTTCTTCCTTTTCAGCTATTTCTCACTAATTTCAGCCTTTTTTAGCTAATTGCTTATTTTTGTGCTCATTTCTGCTTATTTAAACCTAATTCAGCAAATATGAGTCCTTTCCGCTTTCTTTTGCCAAGTTAGGCTTGTTCTTCTATTTCAGCTACATTTCAGCAGGTTTTTAGCTAATTTCAGCTATTTTTCAGCAAGTTCTTTAGCAACAAGCATTCACACTGAGTTTTCACAGGAAATGAAATTTCTCTGGTTTGCAGTTACAGTCAGATCATTTCAAGTTCTCATAAGGATTACAGCTAAAAAAAAAAAAGAATGAGCTTGAAGTGAAGTTTCTGTAACGTCATAGAATGATAAAAACAACAAAAGTGTGTTTTCATTCTTCGTAGCAAAGAAATACAACAAATATTTAAATTACATTTAAAGTAACGGACTGTTAATTAATGACTAAATACTTTAGATTTAGTACAAATATGTGCTTTTATTTGTGTTAGTTCTTATCTGCTGAGCAGTTAAAGCAGCTATAGAGAAAATCTTACATGGGGAACAGGTACTCCTGTGTGAGCTCCAGGTCATCGTCGTAACCGAACCTCCGCAGCACGGTCCACGTGGTCTCGTGTCGACCGCGCTGTATGAAGAGAGTGTGCAGGAACAGGAAGCCTACAATAAAACAACACAATGACCCAGTCAATAATAATTAATTTTACAGTGTCCAACAGGCTGCAAGGTGTCTGTGAAGACAGGCTGACCTTTAAGTGTGAGTCCATTGTCCTTAACTCCGTCTGTCATGTTCCTCTTCACCACATTCTTCACATCCTCTAAGGCCTGGGGTGCCAGTGGTGTATTGAAACACGTTCTCTGTGTGAATATAAATCCAATTATGTGTTAGCATAAAAACATTTTGCATAAAAGTAGCAAACCTGCCTTCATTTTCCTTACTATAAAACCACTCAATTTTATGCAAATTGTCACCAATTCATCTCTTAAGAACACAATCACATGAGTTATATAATTACTTTAAATCTTACACGTGTTGGAGGAGAGTCACCTGAAAGAAGTTGAGCTCGTTGTCATTGAGGATCCCATCGTTGTCCAGGTCGGACACTTTAAATATTCTAGTTAAAGCCTTGACACAAGAAGGTTTCAGCTGGAAGACAAAACAAAAACATTTAGTCATTCCATGCATGTTCATCTAAATCAGCTAGCTGAACAGGTGGAATAAATCAGCTTCATTTCCTAACATTTACTGAAGTATCGGGTAACTTTCCCTTGAAAAACCGAACAAAAATAAATCGCTACGCCTCCCTTAAATTATTTCTAATACAAAGCTACTTGAAGCTGAAGTTAAGCAGCTGACGCATCCAAAATTTGTTTTTATGTGAGGAAACGTGATGAAGCCTGTGATCAACACCTTCCCTCCAGCTAGCAGCCAAATTAGACTTTTCTGATTTTACATTTTACAATATGAAAACAACTATTATTAATATTAACAGTACTGATTAGTATTTCTGATGTATTTTAAATGACGTCTAGGTTTACCCTACACAGCTTGCTACTAAATAATTCTGTAATCAACATTCCCTCTGTCAAGCTCACCTCCTTCTCCTCCGGGCAGTACAGAGGTCCTGTCGGGTGGAGAACAGCCTTCTGGGCGTAATAAAAGAGCTCAGAGATGTTCTTAAGGTTTTTTGCCGAACACTGAGAAAGATAAAATAAAACAAACTCAGTCCAGTTCTTGTTATTGTCATGTCAACTACAGAGCTCTGAACTACCAAAGAACAGAGCTCATGCAGCACAGACTGATAAATAATCCAGTTATTTTCATCTGTTGCTGCTTTTAACTTTAACTTGACAATCCAAAACCAGATTTTGTATTTTTTTGCCCTAACTGCATTAATTATGCTAAATTAAATCAAGCCACACACCAGACATGGCTCTAGTGTAAGACTTTATTATATTAAAGATGCTTCAGGTAAACCACCGTACTTCACTACTTGATCATCTGAAGACTGGAAGAGTGACTGAAAACAAACTACAGTTAATTTACTGTATTTTCCGGAGTACAAGTCGCATCAGTCAAAAAAAGCATCACGAAGAGGAAAAAAATATCTATAAGTCGCTTCGGTGTATAAGTCGCATTTATTATGCGTCACTGCTGACCCATCGTGTTTATTATGCATTTATTTAATGGCCAAAACAGCTTCATTTTGCCTGGGCGGCACCATCCATCCATCCATCGCGGCTGGAGTCACAAGCTCTCCAGCGTTCCTCCGCCTAGAGCTGTCATTTCTATCCCGAACCCGGAGCCCGGCCGGGCCATAATAATGTACTTAATGTGCAGGTCGAGCTGGTGTCAGGCTTTTGATTGTATCAGCGGACGCGTGCGGCTGACGATCCAATTATATGGCAACATGTCTTGCCATACAATCACCAGCCGCACGCAGCTGTTTCACTGCTCGCTGACCGGCCTTGAAAGAGGTAAAAAAAAAAAAGTTAATTTAAGCTTCAGATGGGACTATACTGCCAGGCAGCGATCTGTCAAAGCCCAAATGGACGTTCATTCAGCCGCTTAACTCAGCGGACGTGCGCGGCCGACGACCCAAACAGGCGAGATTCTAAAATATCCAACATGTCAGAGCAGGGTCCGTGTCTGAATAATGCAGAATGCAGGCAGAAGCAGGGATTTAATGCGCTTTGACAGCCGTGAAAGGACAAACACCCCCTCAGCTCCGATCTTCTGCCCCCTTAGCCGTGTGCGTCCGCCGACTGTTAATAACTATATAAGCAGTCAAAGCTTAATTAAAAATGTTGGGGGATTTTGGGTTCGGACCTGTAATTACTGTTAATTCGTCGGGATGGGTGGGGTTCGGAAATGATGGCTACGGGCCGGGTCGAATTTTTTTGGGCCCGAATGCAACTCTAGCTCCACCTGCACCAGCTGAGTGAAGCGAGTGGGCACGGGAGGACTTGCTGTTGCACTTCTTTGAAATTTAAAGCATCAGTCGAAAATTGCGTTATGAATATGGAAAATAAATAATGTCTACAAGTTTCTTCAGCGTATAAGTAGCAGGACTGACAAATCTATGGGAAAAAAATGACTTATACGCCAAGAAATACGGTAGTTTTGAACAAGAGCTTTGACTGGTGTTTGAATAATTATTTTTCATGTTTACTTCTTTTTGGTGCAGCAATTAATTAAAAATAGCAACTTTACATTTTTAAATGTATGCATATTAATGTTGTGCATATGTATCTTGCGGAGCTGTGAATGTTACAGACTACTTGACAAATTAAAAAAAAGTGAAATAAATTAGGATTTTTTTTTATTTATTTCCAGCCCATTGAGCGTACCTTTAAATGCACTCAATTTCATAAATTAATAGTTAATTTGCAAATCACTAACTTCTATCCATGCAAACTCTCTATTTAGAAAATTTGACAAAAAAAAAAAATCTTATCTGGTTAAGAGTCTAAACGATAACAAAATTACTTTTATTTTGTGATATGTGGAGACTTTTACTGAAGAGCGAGTTAAAAAAAAAAAACTTCCTCTAGCATCTAAAGTCAGACCGGATAAACCAGAAATCTAATGTGTGCCCAGCCTGAACGCTGAAACTGCAGGAAAACTCCGGGTCACTTCGTTTTAATACAAGATCGGTGACGGCCCAGCTCTGAGGCAGCTGCATGTGCAGATCCTCACGTCCTCATCTTCCCCTTTTAACTTTGTAACTAATCCGTCAGGGAGGCATGACTGAGCCGTCTCCTGCAGCCGAGAGGAAACTCTAAATTGAACAGTGATGCAGGCAGATTTCAGCCGCGTAACGTGTTCAGACCGTCTATCAGCAGGTTTTAACCTCTGAGCTCAGGGTGCGGTAACAAACTCATTATGACTGAGTCAGAATGTAAACAACGTCAGGATCTGGACTCAGAGCTACAGAGGGTTACCTGCCTCACTCCAACCTAATTTTGACATATAACCGACATCCATTAGTGTTTATGTACAACAATAAGTTTTGACAGCACAACACGACTCTTTTACCTCTACGCAGGTCTCTATATCCTGGTACTGATTCATGATGGGCAGGATGGTCTCCATGCTGCTGTGTTCCACCAAGTCGGACTTGTTTCCCACAAGAATCAGAGGTACCCTGCAATAAAAACTGCTATTATTTATGAGCAGTAACAGGTAATTGAACAACATAAAATTTTATCAGCAGCTCTAAAAAAAAATCAACAAATCACAAGAACAATTGTGTGTTTGCATAAATTCAAAGGTGTTCTTTCCTGGTTTGCATTTTTATAACCCTGACACACAAAACGGGTCACATTTATCTTTACTGCATGACATTAAATTAGACAAACAATAATGTAACGAGAACAATTGCATTTCCTGTGAAAAGGCAGTGTGAATGCTTATTGCTGAAGAACTTGCTGAAAAACAGCTGAAATTAGCTAAAAATGCTGAAATGTAACCGAAATGGAAGAACAAGCCTAAGTTAGCAGAAGAAAGCAGAAAGAACATATATTTGCCGTTTAAATAAGCAGAAATGAGCCCAAAAATTAGTAAATTAGCTAAAAAGTTTAAATTAGCTAAAATTAGATGAAAAGTTACTGAAAAGGCAGGAAGAAGCTTAAACTACCAGAAGAAAGTGGAATGAGCTGAAATGAGCTAAAAACACGTGGAATTAGCTGAAAATGCTAAATTTAGCTTTATTTGAGCTAAATTCAGCTACTATAGCTGAAATAGTAGAAAAAGCTGAAATTAGCAGAAATAAACTGAAAGGAGCATAACAAGCTGAAATTAGTAGTAGAAAGAAGTTATTTAGGCTGAAACTCGCAGAAATGACCATAAAAGACTTGAATTTATCTGAAAACAGCTGAAATTAACTAAATGCTAAAACATTAGCTGGAAAGGGAATTAGCAGAAGGAAGTAGCGGAGAGAGAATAATTTTTCCATATTAGGCTGAAAGACGCTGAAATGAGCACAAAAAAGTAGAAATTATCTGGAAAAAGCTGAAATTAGCAACAACAAAAAATGCTAAAAAGTAGCTTAAAAAAGTAGAAAGTAGCTTAAATCACCAGAAGGAAGTCGAGAGAGCACATTTTTGATGAATTAGGCTGAAAAAAGTAAAAATGAGTGCAAAAAATGTGGAATTAGCTGAAAAGCTAAAATTAGGATAAAAACTGCTAATTAGTAGAAAAAGCTGAAATTTGCAGAAATAAGCTGAAATGAGCAGAAAGACGTTAAAAGAAGCACAAACATATTTTAGTTAGCCAAAAGAATCAGAAAAAAGCACAAAACAGAAAAAAAACCTGCTGAAATCAGCTGAAAGTAGCTGGAAAAAAGTTTAAATTTGCACAAGGAAGCTGAAAGAAGCTGAACCAGAACAGAATGTGAAAGGAGCAGTAAAAAGTTGTAAACACATCTAAAGATATGATGGATGGTAAATGAGCTCATTCATTTTCTATGAGTAAAAAAAAAAAAATGGCAGAAAAGGCTAAATATTTCAAAAAGCTAGAGTTGCACCAGTACCAAAAGTCAAAACAGGATTGTCCTGAACGAGCTGAACGTTTTGATCTATGATTTGTTGAAATAGCACAAAAATTGTGGAACGAGAAAGACGCTGAAAACATACGGGAAAAAAATGGATCACAATAGTGTGAATGCTTCATAAACATACACACTATTAAAAAGTAACAATAGCACATAAATAACAGAGAACTAAACACATGTACGTACACACCTGTTATCCTTATCTATTCTGTCGTTTATAAGAGGAATCCAGTGACTTGTAACCTTAAGAGAAAGAAATCACATGTTTAACAGTTTAACTAAACAAATTAATATTTTATTCACGTGAAAAAGATTCACGTTCTTCAGCTTTAAGACTCAATGCAGGCCTGATGGACTGCACTTCACTCACCTTTTCAATCGACTTCTTGTTGTTCACTGAATAAACGATGCAGATCACGTTAGCCTTTAAAGACAAACACAAATTACTTTATGTACATTTCTATACAGTAATTAAAAAAATGTAATGTAATTAATACATTTAATTAAACCTACCTTAGAGATTTCTTGATAGAGCTGCTCTTCTGACTGTTCTGCTTCTAAATGTGTTAAAAATATATAATGTTAGACTTTCCTGGTAAACTAGTTTAGATCTAAGGATTTGCTCATAGAACCTTCCTACAACCTGGAAATACTTGAAAGACCTAAAAATGTCCACAGAAACATTAAGTTTACAGTCTAGAAATGTTTGAGAGGTGTATAAATAATTGCTGGTGCAGCTTCAGAGATAAAGGAAACCACGTTCGCACCAAGCCAACATGATTTAACAACAGCTGGGATCATTAACGCCTCCCTTTAAATGTTACAACAGGTTATTTTGAATCTAATAACATCTTGTCATCGCATCATTTTCTGTGTCTATATCTGTGTTTGTAGTGATGGAGATACCTGAGTAGTCCACAATGTGTGTGGGCACCCTCTCCGGGGTGACATCAGCTGGAATGGTTATCTCCTCAGCTCTAAGAGGAACCTGAAAGACACATTTAGGAACAAAAACAAGCATCACGTGGCTGGTACTTTTATTATCTGCTATATGTGTGCACAAGCAGGATGTGTGTGTACAAAACCAGCCACCAAAGTGATTTCTGGTATAACGCAGCAACTTCTGACAATACGTGCCTCATCAGGAAACTCCTCGCTGACCAGAGACATAATCAGTGACGTCTTCCCCACTTTGGCTGCAAAAGCACAATTAAAGTGGAGAAATGTGACCAGGAAGTAAAAATAGCAGAGAAGACAAATCAACACATTAAGTCTCGTCTTCTAATGATCTACAGGCAGGTGCAAACATAGTTTGAATTAAATCAAGTGTTTGTATTCATCAGCGATGCGAACGTTTGTGCAATCCAACTAAATAATTAATAACTTGTGACTAATATTTGTAACTGTATCAGTGGTTTGTAGTCCTTTTGCCTCTTGCTGTGTGAAGAAAACAGCTGAGTAAATAAACAAATTAAACCCTGCTGCTCTCTGCAGCGCACATCAGATGGCACGTAGCTTTTGGCTGCACCACTTCTCAGTAACCGTCCAGCTGGACTGATGCAGAAACTAAAAATAAATGGAGGCAACATGTCAGGAGGACAAGGTGGAGAAAAAGAAAATGGGATTAAATCACTGCAAAGTCCAGCAAAAAGGTCTACATTTTGTTATCACACAACTATTTACTCAACCCACTGTGGGTAAATAGTTGTTCCAACAAAACGTGAAACCATGAGCAAAGCCAACATTTCCATGGAATGATGCATAATACATTTATACTCACAATCTAATCCAGGAAACAGCTGCAGCCTAGCTTAGAAATGTGTGGCAGTGCTTTAGCTAATTAGAGCGATCGCCTCCATGGTTTTAGCCAAGACGTGTGGAAGGCTTGCATGGAAAACATGCAACTGCAATATTAATGTAGATTATTGTAACACCATCAGCTGTGATAAACCCACGTTTTGTTAATGCAATGTTCACAACTCTCTCAGGGGACTGGGGGGTTCATCTGATCGTCAGTTTTATACCACTTGCATGCAGATGTGTCAGCAGTTTTTGGAGTATAATGTTGATATGTACACACACTGATGTTGCACTACTGACAAGTTTCTTGTATTATTATGCACCCCTAATCTATGTACAGTTTAGATGTCTTTTAGACTATTTTCATGATTCTTGTTAAGAGTTTAACACATATATTGGTGAGTTCCTGTAAGAAAATACACATTTGTTGCAACAGTAAGTGCAAAGCTAATTTAAGAATACCAGAAAACAATACTAGCATGATCAGCAGAGGGATCCTCAGTGTTTCCTGGTACAATAATATGTTTTATATTTGGAATGGCAGTAACTTGATATTTGTATAAGCTGAAAACATAAATGATTCATGTTAGGTCTAATGTAGATACCAATAAATAAAATTAAAACTCTACTCTGGTCCATTCCTTTAGGCATTATTGTTTAACTCAAAACTCTTAATGCCAATTGTTCTCATTAAACTTCTATAATGGTATTTAACTAATATTTACTACAATGTAACACTTTGTTTTGCATTTACCATTTAAACAGTAAAAAGAGTATTTTATTTATAACAGCTAAAATCAAAATAAATAAATCAGGAGGCAGGTCATTAATACCAGAAACACTATGGACCACACAGCTCAGACTAATCTGACCTGTATTCTTGTTTGTTAGTTCGCTTTGTTCACATTTGATTTTATGCTTTACGTAAACAATACTCTCAGTAGTTTTTAAATTTGATATTTGGCACAGATCAAGTACAATTAATACTCCTTGCACATGTTGGCTAATCAAAACCTGGAGAAATACCTTAATTCTGGACGTGAATGCAGAAATAAATGGATGCTTAAAACCTTTACTTGAACAGAAACTAATTTTAATGCCTTATTTACAACGTAACGATGATTGCTAACTATGTGGGCAATAGCAGCATTAAAACCCCAAATCCAGACTTCAGACTTCATTCTTTGAATGAATCTTGTAGAAAAACCTGGTACTTTTACGGTCATCGTCCACTGCTCGTGTAGCTTCTAGCATAGCCACTTACGTTCCCCAACAAGCAGTATCCTCACGTCTTTTCTCATGTTTAATCTCGTTTCCCTCGGCAGAAAGGAAAGTCTTTATCGTTTCATGAAGTCCTCTGAAGCCGTCTTCCTCCAGCAGGAAACCCTGGGCCCTCCCGCCGCTGTGGAACACTCCTCTCTGTAGGACAAAACGGACAGACAGTTTCCGGCGCTTCCTTGTCCTTTCCCTGCGTTTTTCTTTGGATTACAAGTTGTCGACTCGGCAGAAACACGATTTAAACACTAATGTACCACCTTTAAGTCTGTATTTTCATATTAATAACAATCATTTCGGCGCCAGAAGATCATTTCGCAGCAGACGTATTATGCGCATGCTCAAACTTTAGCACCGGGTTTCTACGGAAAGCTCAATAGGACAAAATTGCTCGAATCTGGAAAATGAAACAGAAATACTGCGCTGCCCCCTTGCGACAAAAAGAGGAAGTGCATTTAATAACAGGCCGATCGGTTTTTTTTTTTTTTAATTAACTGCAGTCTAATATAATTGAATTTCATTGTATCGAGCTCTAATTTATTGAAATAAACTAAATCAGACTGCATGAAATTAGATTTAGGTTGCACCTTTTTAGTTTTTTATTGTAATGCTGTATGCTGCTACGTCTTAACATTAATTATTACATTTTATTTAATAAATAAAATACTGTGTAGCATTACTCTTGGCGCTGACATTAATAAAGTGTTTCCTTACAAAATTATTTGTTTTATTATTTATTTATTTATTTACATGGTGTGGTTACATTTTCATGTTACCCAAAATAGTTTTGTGATTTTAGCTTTTTTCCATGAGTGAGATGAACATGTATGCCAATTTTTCATATAATAAACCATACCTTTAAAAAAAAAAAAAGGTTATTTTTCCTAGCACAATGTCATAAATAATGTTCAATGGGTAATTTCATATTACATGTGTCAAAAAAAGTGTCAAAACAACAGTACATAAATTAGAAAATAGGAAATGTCAGATTATCAATTAGAATGTGCTGTGATACTTATCACATCAGAGTACAAGGGTGTTTTAGGTTTTTCTTTTATCATGCAACATTTTAAACAAAAAATTGAGACTCAGGTCAGTAGCCAAGTTAAATGATAGTAGTCAGAGTTTTTCTTCCAAAGTGTCAGGTCTGATTCTGAGCAGTGACAGAAAGTTGCAGTTCAGCTGTTGTGCTGCAGAAGTCCAGTCATTTGCATAATTGTTGTAATTTTCTCATCCACTTGTTCCACTTTTGTGTAGTTCATTTTTTTAATTTTACAGTTGCCTCAGCTGGAATGAGAAACAAAAGCTTCAGGGTGGAATCACATATTTGCAGAGCATAACATCTGTTGTGAGGTGCTGTGGAAAATTGTATGTGAACAAAAACACAAACTGACCGTGTGGGGTTAATTGTTTGTTAGGTGGAGGATAAAAACTAAAACTTGAAGCTGGTGGGATCTAAATTCATAGTCACATAATATTATTTGGTTTAAAAAATGTAGGTGTTGATTGATTCCATCAGTTATCAAGTTTGTCCACACCTACACTGCGGACAAACACATGACAGGAGTGTTTGTTCTGCTAAATTGGATCAGCCGGAGGGACATGCTTACTTTGCCTTCTTTTGTCAAATAAACTGATAACAATGAAAATGTAGAAATAGGTTTAAAACAGTTACTTAAATGTGTTTATTTCATACCTCTATTAAAAAAATGTTTTGTCTTTTTCAAATCTCAGAATTTTAAACTTTACAATCTATTTGAAAGAATGATTTTGTTATTCACCTGAAAATGTATAAAGTTATGTACCACAGTCTCTGAAGGCCCCCCACATACTCGGGCGTACTTCACTCCGCGGACATCCGTGAGGCGGACTCGAAGTGGACGTCCACAAGCCATGTCCACGCAAAGATCAATTTTTACGACCGTGTGCAGGTACTCGGTGTCGCACAATAAACTGCCCGGCGACAGACTGTTTTGTATGCAACACCAGTGTATTAAATTCCTCTTCTTAATCCCTGATCTGGATTATTGGCCTTTTCTTTTGTTGTTGTTTTTTTTTTGACAAGAAGCAAGCGATCTCTTCATCCTCGTCCGTTGACGTCATGACTGAAACTGTGAGATATTAAGGAATTTGTCACGAGAGAATTAAAATCAGACCCCGTGTGGCTGCGGGAGAGTCTGGAGATTTCCCGGTGGACTGGTCTGATGTGTGGGCTGCAGGACCAGTGCTCCCTGTTTTTTTTTTTTAAGAACTTTTTATTAACAAGATATAAACACAGAACACCGCTACCGCTGCTCCTGGACTGACAGCTGCCTCTACCCAGGGCTGCCGGCAGCACTCGTTTTTTTTTTTTTTGGAGACCTGTTAATCAGTCCAGTGGGCGTGTCAGCAAATGACCAATCGGCGACCTCAAATTGTCCCGAAGGTAAATGCCCCTTGCCTGCAGAGCTGGGCTGTAGCACATCAGGGTGTACACTCGAGTATGAAGTCTCAACCATCTGCGGACAGTGTGCACGGCGTCCACGTGGCTCTCGGAGTACACACAGTACGCCCGATTATGTGGGAGCCTTTACTCATGGTGTGTTTACAGCCAATAACAGAGACTTTCACATAAACACCAAACCAGAACAGGAGAATAACATGAAAAACCCATTTTCACACTCAAACCTAAACAGTCAGAAACATTGCACACATAATTCCTACCCAGCATGCTTTGCAACGTTCACATTTTCTCTGGGACGTGACTCTCTCACACATCTTTACTCTAACACAAACAGAATTATTACTGAGATAATATTGGTGATGACACACAGCAACTTTGTAGTTGGTCTATAAAAATAGTTGATCACAAAGGGAATTGCTAAAGTGAGTTAATTCATACCATACCAATTTATTTCTAAAGCACTTAAAATAAAACATAGCAGCCGTCTGAAGTGCTGTACAAAAACAAGATTGAAGCTCAGAGGTGATTGGGTTTTTTCAGTCATGGGCCCCAAACTTTGGAACAATCTGCCCCAACATCTGACACGCCACTTCACTTCCTGTTTTTGAATCTATGCTAAAAACACAGGTTTTCCCTGGCTTTTTACACAGGGTGACTCAATTTAGTATTTTATTGCTCCGCATTTCCATGTTTTTCTTTTGATGCTTTTAACTAATTTTCAGTACTACAGTTGTTTTTATTTTTTCATGGAATTACTCCCATTGATTTTATTGTTAGGCACTTTGGTAACAGCTGCTATTTTAAATGTCCTTTATAAATAAAGTTGACTTGGATTGACTATGAGTCAGGTTATGTTGAATCAATATTTTAGATCGTTTTTCATGTAGAAATTGTGCAAAA